TGTTGGCCGGTTGTGCTAGAAGAATATTTTTCTATTTCCATCTTAGGACTCAAACAGACTCCATTTTCTCGAAACGTTTTGTTTATCTACGATTTCATGTTTTGTTTTGCGTTTATGTAATATCTTCCTCACCTCCATTCCTATATAATATATGCCTATCTCTAGAATTAATTTTCTTCCACATTTGACAGTGAGGACATTAACTGAACGAGACGTCCTATAACATCCTCTTCTTTAATTTTCCTCAGTTTAATTTTAACTATTTGACGAAAATTGGTCCCTTCATTTGTTCCTTAAACTTCAAGACTGCTGTGGACGTTACTGTATCTATATCTCGCCATCGCATCTTATCATTCTTCATTTAACCGAAACGCATATATTGTCATTTCTTATCAATGGGTGTGCTCTTTCGCCATTTCAATCAGGAAAGTCCGTTTCGCTAGAATGTCCATTCTCATTAACGTCTAAATCTATTCGCCCTTAATTTCTATTGCGTGATATATAGCTGACGAGCTCGAGGGTGCAATCCGATCAAGTGTCACGTATACAAATCGAGAGCAGATAGTCCAATTGTTTTGTTATAAATCCACTAGTCGTCAAAAACTGAACAACACATAACGTTTTATGTCGTTTTTATTTTTTTACCATCTCACACTTTTAGGCTACCTTCTTGGACCACTCTCTATCATAAAATAGATTAGCGCCGCCAGTCAGATTACAGCATTTGTGGTAGAACTATCAGATCTAAGCCACTTTTAGCACCTATTTGAAAGGAGATTTTCTTTTATCAGAACTGTGCCATTTTGTGCATCTCTCCGAAAGGAAACTTGTGCTCTAGATAATTAAAACGTGCATCATTTTTGATATGAAATAACTGAGAAAAAATAAGCCAGTTCTCCTGGTCTTAGTTTGATTCCCATCGACAACTGGAACAGGTTAACATTACTTTTCACTGAAGCATTACGAAGTATCTTCTATCAGTTTTCAAAGAAGGATTCCCTGCGTCGCTCACAATCTATTCCGAGATAGAAAGTAGCTGAAAGTGGTCACGAATAAAGGGAATTGTTCAATACTGTCTCTTTGCAAAAAAAGTAAGATAAAAACATGAGCCTGTCTGGTTGTTCAGCTTTGAACGACCAGAAGATTTTTACTTAAACAATAAGAGTAGTAGCTCACGGGTTCTATGCGTGATGAGTGACCCGAGCTTCGCTCTCATCAACTATCACGCAACAGAAATAAGATTGTTTGCTCACGAGTTCTGTGTGTGAGGAATGATCTGTGCTTGCTCTCATCGACTATCACGCAATAGAAATCTCAAGTTCATGAATACCTCTTTTGACTAAAGACTTAACTTTCCTCGTTTGATACTAACGTCCCGCTTGGCATACTGCGCCGGTTTATCACCCAAATAAATCAGTATTCCAAAAAGGTATTAGTTGTATAGAAAAAAACAGAGTTTTAACTGTTGAGCACAAAATTTTCTTACAACTTGAACTGATTTGATTTATGAGTTTTGTCAAACGAGCTACATGTATATGCACAAAACAGCGAAGAGACTCAATCCCTGCCGACGCACGCCTACGTGGGCGATACATTCATGTATCGTTTTGACCGGATTAGTTAAACCTCGAGTAACAGAGACCCGATCACGCTCGTGCAGGAACGATTTTTGCTCTAAAATAATGATAACAGTTTGGTTAAATTTTCTCATCAGCTCTCAACCCGACTTGGACCAACACTCAGATAATTTAACTCCACTGTTTGCAACGCAAAACAAACACAAACAATCATGTTAATCAATTCGAAAACAGTGCTTTTATCATTAGACAGGTTGGTTTTATTTTACCATTACACTGAATCAAATGAAATGTTCATCAAGTCGGTGCTAAAATTTTTGCTCTCTACTCGAAACCCGCAAACAGAGCTTTTTCGACCACAAGATGTTACAGCTTCTCGTTTATGCATAAAATTTCGAATATTTAACCTTAAATCAAAAAACTTCATGTATTTCTTCAAAACTGGGTCTGTTTTAAGACTTTTGCGAAGGGCAACACTCCAGCCACAAAAATTTTTTAAAGCCATAGTTAAAGGGGACATGATTTTTCTCGAATTGTACGTGGAAACCAAAGGGTATTAATTTCAAATTTTGCCACATACCTTGAAAGCTAACTATCGAGTAGGGATCACTTTTTCCGCTGAATTTATCGACATCTGGGAGGTTACTTGCATTTTTCACCACCACCTTCAACATGTTGGTGAGCTGAGCTTGACTATCG